CTTGTAACCGTCTGCCAACTGGATTTAACTCCATTAATCAATTTTTGTTTTTTGCAACAAAAAATCCACAAAACTGAACACCAAAACCCAAAAATCAAAAAAGCTAACAGATTGTGCCAAGCCAAAATATTTTGATTCAAGCAAATAAGTTTCATTATTGAACATGTATTAAGTTTTTAAATATAGAATTCTCTTCTAATATAAGCTCCATTAAAAAAAGCTGTTTTGAAATGAATAGTGTAAAACAATTTTGGAAGCATCCAAAGTAATGATTCCCACTTTGTTGCTTCCAAACAAACAAAAGGGATACTATTTTTAGATTTTTCCTCTAGTTCTGGTTCCTTCTCTTTCCCACATCCAATCATGAGCAAGAACAAGCTAAAACTGTTAACTGAATTTGATTCCTCTGTATTCTTAAAGTACACACTTCTGTTGATCATGTGTGTTTGTCTGTCTGGTTTTTTTAGAAACACAGCTTTAATTTGAAATATTATTTCAAATCACCCCAAATCTATTCCTAAAGCAAAGCTGTAATTTTGGAAAGTCCCCCGTTCATGCACAATGGTGGTTATGCATGGTTCCTAGAAGAAACAAGCCCAGATGTTTCCTTGCTCTCTTTTTTGTTTTTTTGTTGAAAGCAGCTGCTGCCCTGCAGAATTTGGACCTGTAAGCGGGTGGATGGTAAGGCAGCCTTCATCGCACCTCGTATCCTCAGCACATGGTGACATTGAATAGGAGGTTCTTGGGGATAAGCCTTGCTCTGAGTAAGTGGGAGATACTGTGTAGATACAATGGCAACCTGGCTTTGAAATCATCTTGAGAAGGGATTAGGTTTAAAATCTCCCTGTAGAATGGAAAGCAGCAGACGATACAGCCCTGCAAACCCCAGCATTTTTAAGGGATCTTGCACAAAAGTACCACCAAAGTCAGATCACCAGTGGAGGGACTTGAGACCTGAACACGAATCTGACTGATATACACAGGGCAACTGTGCACGGACCCACCACCTATTTAAGCAGGGAGCCAGTAGGCTGCCAGAAACAGTCCACGAGATGCTGCTAATGGAGCCAGGCCAGAATGACCTGCAGTTTTTAATGCAAGACGATCTCCAGCTTCTCAGCGTAGGCTCCATGGCCACCCAGCAGTTCAGATCAGGCTTGCAGGGCCCTTCTCCCGTTCTCCACCTTCCCATGCCAGGCAGACCTGGCATGCAGGACAGAGACCTCTGTACAGTGGTACTGAGGTGGTCTGTTTTTAAAGACCAACTGTAAATTATGATGACTCTTTC